ACCCAAGCCCGAGATCTTTCAGTAATAGGAAGTAATTGATCAGAAGCATCTTGAGGAAACCCACATTTCTCTCTTAAGGTTCTATTATAACTTTCAACAATACCTATAATACGTTTAGACTTGGCCTTCTGAATTTTTACACTATGCTCTCTCATTAATTTCTCACAATCACCCCTGAACTCTGGTCCTCTATCTGTTAAAAATATTTCCGGCCAAATGAGAGGACACTCAGGATCATTATAGATTTTCTCAAGAGCTCGAGCAATAGTCTTTGAAGTTAAGATCCCCTGTTTATTCTTGACACTATATGTACCAATAGGGATAGAAACTTTATATCTCGAAGCCACGTCCACTACATTAAGGCAAAAAGATAAGTAATCTGACCTATCTTATCATAAGGCATGTAGAGAATATCTGCCTGATGTATTTTATTGGGGGTAGTAATAGAGCTAAAACTTACTCGTGGAATATACTTTGGCTGTGGTTTATGAATCTGATGTACAGCTTGTCTCTCAAACCAATCACACGTTTCATTTAAGGTAAAATCAAACCTAGCTTTTAGAGAAGCTTTATGCAATTTTTTCGCAGTCCTCTGATAGCCTGAAGGCTGGTAATAAATCTTTTGCAAATCAATAGATATATCTAAATTTCTAGCTTTACTCGAATCTATTTGTATAATAGGAATCAATGTCATGGACCTGGCTTATATTGAAATCCTTGATACTAATAAAGAATTGCGTAAAGAACTGGCAGATGAAATAGTCAAAAACAAACTTAAGGATAGAAAGCTGTTATAGGACATTATCTCACCAGGATTCAGCAATCATAGCCCACGAAGATGAAATAGAGTCTCTTAAGACCGAGATAAAATCCCTTAAACAGCAACTCCACAAAGCATTACAGGATTTAAGGCATAAAGGCGATGCCAGTACTGCACAAGATATCCATATTTTAAGGCTAGAAGATATGGTTGAATAGCTTAAGAAGCGAATTAAGAAGATTACAGATAAAAAATTAACCCAAATAAATAGTTCACCAATAGCACTACCAGATATCTTAAGAAATATTGGTACAGCTTTAGATCAAGTTGAAAGATATATTGATGGGAATACATCATTTAATCTGAAAAATACTCTGTATGGAATACGGATCTCAGTGACAACGATCCGAGAGCATATGGAAAGGCATGTTCAGGATAATGCAAACTTACAAGATTTGCTTAATGCATCCCATGAGCAGACCAAT